GAAATAACTGATGATTGTGCACGAAGTGTTGTCAATACACTTTTTTGTTATCGCAATAAAACAAAATTGGTTTCAGTTAATTTTCCTGAACATATAAATAATACCACAATAGGACAAATACTTACAACAATATTATTCCATTTCAATATATCCTTTAATTTACCTCGTCTATTTTTATTAGATTCAGCTACCTACATGAAGAAATATTATCGTAAGGTTTTGTTACTATTAATGCCACAACTAATCCATATACAGTCTAACCTCGATATACCGATATTCGATATACCGATATACTATTAAAAACTTGATATACCGATAAAATTTTATTTTCCCACTATATGTGAGGACATATAAATATCAGTATAACTTTGATATAATGATATTTTCTAAAAATTTCATATACTGTATGTCCCGACATATCGTTATATAAAGGTTTGACTGTACCATGTTGTACGCATATCATAAATCTTATTATTAGGTATGTTTCTGATATTATTTTTATTTTAAATTATATTATGAGTTAAGAAGAGTGGAAGAAAAATTATTTTTAATAATACTTTAAGGATACATGGAGAACACTACCTCAATTTCGTATTTTAAAGGAATTTTTGGATAAAATTAAAAAGGTATTTGTACATTCTCCTGCTCGAAGAGGTCAGTATCTCACTTATTTGAAAATGCATGGAATTTTTTTACCATGCAAAATACTTTTACATAATAAGACCTATTAGAACTCTTAGTTTCAGATGGTATTTTATGCAAAAGATCACATTATATATTGGCCTAATTTTTTTAAAAAAGAATTAGAAAATGATAGCACAGGTCAAAAAGTGAAAAATCAGGCACTAATCAGTCACCAATCAGGTAACTGATTGGTGACTGATTGGTAACTGATTGATGCCTGATTTTTTACTTTTCAACCTGTGTAAAAACCATAATACTTTAACAGCTATTAATTTTTACTTGCAAAGTGAACAAGAATTAGGACTTATTACAATTTATCTGAATTTTATTTCTCTTCATGCTGCTGAATTTGTCCAAAATCTAGATTTTTTCAGTAATCAAATAAGCCCATTTTTCCTCTTGTTGAATTACGACTTCAACATCTCACTGCTTATATTGAAACGTATAGAAATTCAAGTGATTTTAGCCTTATTTTGGAAAATCTAATTATTGGTTTTAGATTTAATACAAATGATTTTTATCCTATTTTTCAAGCAGCATTTGAAGCAGCTTATAACAAATTTTCTGCACATATTCCTAACCATCCAGCTTGATTAATTTTTCATGCATGTCAAGTTTTTGATCCCAAATTTATTCAAAGTGGAGATTTTTTACAAAAAAATATTCAACAATATAATTTGATTAGTGAATTTGCGAATCCATCAAATGAATTATTATGGGAATGAAGAATTTATTGTGGATTAAATAATGAATTTTTAGCTGAAGTGAAACTGGACCAATATTGGTTAGATAAAGCAACACAATTGCCAATCTTTTCTAATATTGCTTTGGATTATTACATTTGGTTACCAGTATCAAGTTGTGCTGTTGAACGAAGTTTTTCTATATATAATTCTCTTTTAAATAGTGATCAACAAAGTTTATCTCAAGATTCTCTTAAAGGATTAAACATGTTATATTTTAATGGCATTTAGAAATTACTACTGTATGGTGATTTTAATAAAGAATAAATGGTAATATAAATTTTATAACAAATTTAATAAATTTATACCATTATTATTATGCATAAAATTAAATAATTGCATAAATTTACTAAATAATATCGAATAATATATAAAAATTTTTAAAAAATTATATCACATAATTCTTTTATAACACATAAATAATTTATGTTATATCACATCATAAAATAATCAGCCCTGGTCCGGTGTTTGATTTTAGGGAAATGACAGGTTGGTTTCGCAACAATTTTTGTTGCGAAACTTATTTTTTTATTAAACTTTTTGTTTTAGTGATTTAGCAAAAATCGGAGTGTGTGAAATGAGTTAAAAAGAAAAAAAGCAAAGTGGATTGGAAAGATATCTGGACGATACAAAGTTGTTGAAGATACGCAAAATGTATAGCTATTCAGCGTACAAATTTATCATTGATAAATGTAAAAACTATTTTCGTTAAAGGTCATAGGTATTTTTACGTGTATTTTAAAGATTTAGACGCAACTATCGAAAAAAAGCTTAAAGAAGGAAGATTTGGATAATACTCAAAGAATTAACATAGTTTTACATTAAATATTAGATTATTTAATTAGATTATAGATTATTTAAATTGTAATATAATGAATTTAGTGTTAATAAAATAATAAAACAATACATTATTAGGCTATATTTTCACGTTAGTATACATATTGTTTATCGAGTTTATTAATAAAAAAATAATATTGTACAATATGAATCAACTAACACATAATACGTGTTGTTTAACATTAATCTGCCATTTTTATATGCATTTTTTGATAGTGTCAATCATTATAGGGTTAGTTTTTCTACGGTTTAAAGCGTTAAGCAACACTAGTGTTAATTGGTATTAACTAACATTAGTATACACCACCCAAAATCTTACTGATGGTATTATATGGGACAAAAATTTGTATTGCCAAAATAATAGCAATGTATTATAAAGGTTATGGTAACCATTGTTATAGCCAAGATGCAGTAACTCAAATTGAAGATTTGTCTTATATTTCATTACAAGTATATTTACCCATTCATCTCAATATTTTTGCAAGTCAAACTGTGAAAGGTTATACGCTATTTACTACTCATCATTGTCTTCAAAATATTATATATCATATTGTGATAGTTCACTAACTTTAACAGGAGTAGCACGTGAAATTTTTAATTATTCTAACTATGATGCTATTAAAAATAGCATTATTAATATAATACAATAATATCAATTTGTCAAGAAATTTTTTTCATTTTATAGTTACAAAATAAATTGTTTGGTAGTGCAAAAAATTTTAATGTTACAATTTGAGTTTGCTTAGCAGAATGAAAATAATTTGCTTATTGATCTTAGTAAATTTTGAAATTTTCATCTGACCTATATATATATTGTTCGGAGTCCTGTCTCAACCTCTATTACAGTCTTACAGAAAAATAAAAAAAGAAAGACTTTAGAATTTTAAAGTAAAGAATTAAAAAAAATACTAATAAAGTTAATAGAATGGATATAAACATTAGGAGGACTAGTAGTTTAATCCATATAGTTTAACTAAATTTATAGTTGTTAAACATGTTTTAACTTTTGTTTTAAATAAAAGTTTTAGCTTTTTTCAAAATTTTTTTTTTTTAATTAGTTATTATTCTTTTTCTTATATAAAATTTTTGTTTTAAAAAATACTAATTTTGATTCCTTTTTTTTTCTGGCTCAACTCAGATATATTTTGCATTGTACAATAATGCTTTGTAGGGTAGATAATAGGACTCTGCTTACTACTAAAATATGTTACCGGTAGAAATTTCACTTTCATATGAAACCTTACCTTATGATTTGCTTAAATTCTATTGGTTAATTGACTAAAAAGGAAAAAAATCATAACAATGTAACATAAAATTTCCTTTTATAGTAGGATCTTCAAAGAGTTTTATATGTAAACCTTGGTCTTAGATAATACTTCAACCCAAATGGGTTTTTAATTGATTAATCTACAATTTACTATGGTTTGGCATCAGTTTATTTGAGTTGGAGCTAAAAGTTTGGCTAAAATTAATAAAATTTGTAGAAGAATAATTTTTTTAAATCTTACAAAAATTATAGTTTGATAAAATTAATAGAAAAATGGTGTGATGCTAATCAATGGATCAATTTGAATAAGGGTATAGTAGGATTTTACCTTTATTGTATATGTTTATAAAGTATTGTCCCTCCCTTTAAGGATAATTATAAAAAAAAAACTATACTAAACCTTATATTTACACTACTTGAGAAAAGTAGCGAACCCTCTAATAACTTTAAATTTTGCATAATATTATTGCCTGAAACTCTAATATGTGATAACAAAAATCCCAGTAAGCATATGTATTGAATTTTTCATTGCTAGCTTACAAGCTACTATATAATTTATGAAAAAATTGTAAAAAAAGAAAATTGAACTAAAATTGCAAAAATTTATATTATTTTCGCATTTACTTAAAATTGTATATAATAAAAATGATTAAATTTTATATCATTTAAAAGTTATTGCTTTAAAGAATTAGCATATGAATTTTTACATATTAATCTTTTTTAGAAAATTAGAAATCAAAAAAATACTAATTTTTAATTTAACCATTTTTTAAAAAAAATTGTTTTTTAATTATTCAATTAATGGAGTTATATTAAAATTTTGAGTAATATTATTATGTACGTTTTTGAGTAATTAATAAAATTTAAGGTCCGCTACTTTTGTCACCTCTATACTCGGTAAAATCATCAAGTTGCATTCCAATAATTATCAACTCAAAACCCGATCAAAAACAGGACTAATGATCGACGTCAGACCAACCTGACATATTTAAAAACGGTATTTTGTTTACTATCCTGTGTGTGTGTCAGGCTTAAAGATAACAACAAATTTTCATTCATTTGGAATAAGAAATTTATAAAATGAAACGTAGTACGTCATAATATTATGATAAAGATAAAAAGATTACAAAAGAAAAATTAAAATTCTCTTCCAAGAGATTCGTATAAAAGTTTGGTTAGTTCATCAGAGGCTCGATCAAGTTCACGTTGTATTTCTCTGGCTTCTTCGACAGCACCCCTTTCCATTAAATATTTTTCTCTTTTTTGCAAGAAACTGACCAATTTTTCCAAACTTTCTATTGCATCTCTTCTATTTTGTCGCTTTTTAGATTCTATAAGTTCGGCATCACTTTCTTGTTTACGTTTCAAACTTTTCATTTCATATTCTAATGCTTCATATTCCTGTGAAGATATTTTCACATTAGATCGATTAAATACTTTTCTTATGGATACATCAAAACTCGTGTTGCCTTCTATAATATTAAAACTAGTGAAATCACTGTTAGGAGTAATATGCCAGGTATTGGAATATGCTTTTAATACTGTTCGTGTTTCGCGAATATCAAGAATTATATAATCTTTTATAGGAATCGAAGAATATCGACCTCCTAACAAAATGAGAGATTTTTAGACAAATATAAATAAAATAATATACTAAATATTGAAATTTACCATCTTGAAAACGCTCATGATGTCTTTTCATATCAATTCCATCAATCAAAAGTTCAATTGCCCATTGAGGTTCCGATATATAAAAATCAACTACTCCATCGGTAGCAAATATTCTCCCTACATCGGGCGATATATGCATCTCATCGGGTAAACAGCTATATATTGCCCTATAGAATTCCATTTGCCATACACGTTCAAGAAGTCTCATCCCATCTTTTGACCTTCCTAGGTTATGCGTTAAAGCCTTAGAATTAACTCTTGATAAAGCTTCACGGACAAGATCATGTAGAGTGAAACCATTTTGAAGCGGTTGTTTAAAAGAAGCACACCGGTGAAAGAACGATAGTAGTCGAGCCACAGGAGAAACGAATCCAACATAGCCTTCCCTTATAATAAATTCCGGACCTCTATCGTCGATATAGAATAAGACTCCAGCTTTAAGTAATGCAGTTACGGCCTCATCCGGACCAGTCGAATGAATACGTAGCTCATCTTTGAGGAGGAGTTTATCAATAGCTTCTCCTTCTGCGGTATTAAATTTGTAAAGCGGAGCTCCACGATGAGCTTTAACATGCTCAATGAAATCAGATGATATAAAATATGACATTATTTCCGGATCTGTAGTTATTTTATAGTTTGTTCCGCGATAAGAAAAATAATTATCGATTCCATTTAATATCCAGCGAATCAAACCTAAATGACCCGCAGTAAATTCCATAATATGTTGTACAATTTTTTTACTAACATGAATTTTCTTTTTAAAATTGTATTTATTAAACGCTTCAACTAATTCCATTAATTCAGATTGTGTACAACGAACTAAACCAAAACCAAATTTCTGTTGAAAATCCACGGGACTTTGAACCGAAGTAGCCAATCTACCTCCCGTAGAAAAAGCAATAATTTTAATCGTTTCTTTACTAAGTGAGGCTTGACGACACAGGGACTTTATTCTTAACCAAAATGGTTCATATTGGTCACCATCAAAAATATGATGAGTTTCATCTAATATGATAATCCTTTCACCATGTTTAGGGTTCAGCCAATATTTCCAGCTTTTCCCAGTCTCATTTATCCAAAATTGCTCAAAAGACATATCTTCTACACCTAAAAAACATACTCGCAGGACAGGAACTTTTTTTTTGCGATAATGCTCTTCCAATAAGATACATAAAGAAGTTTTACCGGTGAATGGTGGTGCTCTGATTAGTATTAGTCTATCACGTTGTATAAATTGATCAATTCTTGTAACAGTTTCATCTCTACGAGTTATCCAATTTTCAGGGGTAAGACAAATTCCTTCATTTTCTAGTGAAGGCATATTTTCTTCATTGAATATGTAATGAATTCTTTCTGATCCAGAATCCGAGAATTCCGTAAATACCTCTTCTTCGCCTTCAGATAATAACTTAGGACTTGAATATTGTTGACTAGAGTGCTGCGAAATAATTACGAACGGATGATTTTCAAAGTAGTTGTAATCATCTTCGCTTTCACCTAGAATAGTGGAAACACTTTCAGATTGACTGCTAGAATTATGATTAGCGTTAGAGGAATCGTTCAATTGTTTGGTATAGTCATTAAAATGCGGATATTGTTCCTGTCGGGAAAGGGTTTGAAATGAGTTTGAGGTTTTTCGTAATTGTGATCGTTTTGAGTATAGATTTTGTGTTTGTAGTTGGTCTTGGTTCTTAATTTGGTTATTATGAAAATTATCATCCATTTTGAAAAAATATATATCCCAAAAAATATTTTCTGTTTTAAAAATTATTATAAAAACATTTAATAATATTATAAATTAATCGGAATATTTTATGTAAAGATTATTAATAGCAAAGATTAAAAATTCGTGTCCCCTCTGTCAAAGAAAAAAAAAGAAACAGGGATGCAGAGTTCGTCAAGAAATTTGATTGAATTAAAAAGAATGATCGTAATTGAGAACGAAGAACAACTAAAAACTATTTAATTTGCCAAGCATCTTTATATCGAAAATTTTTCAATATGAAAATAAAGGATAATGATAACCAATTGATTTATTAATCGTACAATTACTATCATGAAAAATCAATATTAATTAATCAATACAAGGAAGATAGATAGTAAACTGACGTATAATTAAGGAAATCATGCAGGATAATTTATTCAAATATATATTGTATTTTTGATTTATCGATATTTTAATCTCGGAGTTTATTGATTTATAAACTCATAACTGGAATTCCCTGGCGCAGTGACGAACGACGAATAATTAATTCGGAATAACCTCGGAATAACCCTCGGAGGAATAATTATAATAAATTACACAAAAACCAATCATTTTTTTGATTCGCCAAATAAATTATATAAACTTAAAAAGGTAAAAAAGAATATTCAGGAGAATATTCCAGGGAAGAATTAATGACATTATGATACTAAACTAGCTGTGCACGCTTTATTCAAAATTATTTATTTTCTTTCTACTTTTTTTTTTTTAAAAAAAAAATATATATATACATAAAAACATATAATATACTATATATAGTAATAAATTGATGAATTGGAGATAAAAAATGTCATTAAATTCAATTATAATTATAATTTTAATTATTATATTAAATCATGATATAAATGCAAAAACAATACCTAGAGATGCACCAACGGCAAATATTATTGGAAATAAATTGTATATATTGGGAGGAGATGTTATGATTTCTGACGGTTCATATCAACCAACAAATGATTTCTTTTACCTTGATGTTACAAATATACCCTTCAATAATACGTTGGGAAGAATTTCATGGACTGATATTACACATTTGGGCAAAATGCCCGCAAATAGTTGGGCAGCAAGTGCTCTTGGAGGCAAAAATGATTCGATTTTTTTATTTGGAGGTCAAATGGAACCTAACGAAGAAAATGCTCTTGTTTACGTATTTGATATAAATAAACAAGAATGGTATGAACCAAAAATAAGCGGAAATCCTCCTTTAAGGAGAAGAAATTTTGGAGCCGTAAATGATAATTTGGGGAAAATGTACATATTTGGAGGAACGGCTGATAAATACACCGGTTATCCAAATACAACTGATTTCAACGATATGACAATTTTAGACACCGTTCATTTAACTTGGCATGAAGGCACCAAGGAAGGCGCTCCTATTCCGAGAACAAGTTATGCCGTTACAATACTACCAGATGGAAATATCGTTTACATTGGAGGAATTCAAAAATCCACGGATGGAACTTATGAATACGTAGATATGAGTGAAGTAAGTTACTTTAAATCTTTTCTTTTTTTATCAACATTGTCCATAATGATCTTTTTTTTAAACTATAGATTGCTATTTATGATACAATACACGACAAATGGTCCACAATGGTGAGTATTTCATTTTATCTCAAAAGAAAATTAAAAGCTTAAATTTTTTTTTTTAAAAAAAACAAAGATAGCAGAAGGTGAAATTCCCGGAATTCGTGGGGAACATACAGCTGTTTTAACCCCAGATGGAAGGATTATCGTTTATGGCGGTGAAACAAAACACGTTGCAGCTTTTCCACAACTTTGTGTTTTAAATACCACAACAAAACCTTTCACCTGGTCATTACCCGAATCATTCAATCCTATCCCAGATCTGTGGTTACACACGGCCACTATAGTTGGTAATTATATGGTTGTAGCTTTTGGTAAGTTGTCAAGCGATTAACCACTCACGTGATAATTTTATTATTCACTTTTTTGCCTTCATTTCAGGGTTTTCACCTACCCACGGTCGAACGTCTGATGTTTACATATTAGACTTAAGTGAAGAAAATCTTTATAAATGGTCAGTTCTGTTCATAACGCAGGGAACTGTAGCGATGAAACAAACGGACGGAAGTTGTTATGAATATGTCATTCCGAACTCGAAAGAAACGATAGGAACAACAATAGCGATGTTACTTGGTGGTTTTGGTGCTGGCGTTTGTGTAGCTGCTAGCGGTTATATAATTTATAATATTAAAAGATTAAATAATACATTAGATCAATTATAATGTCAGTAATTACTCTGATTACAGCATTTTGAAATAGAAATAGAATCAATACAATGTTACTTTAAATAAATAATAACGCGACTTTCCACGATTATGTTCCGATTAACTTATGTCATAAATGTCATAAATACGTACTTATTTCATATACGAATTCCAGCTAAAATTTAAAACCCTGTTACATTTCACAAAATTTATATGTTTGTTTATACCCGAATTGGAATGTAAGAATCTACGTTAAAATAAAACAAACAGACGCGCAGTTGTAGCGATCGCAAATCCAACCAAATTAAGCAACACTGTTGATTATCGACTTATTCAACTTTTCATATTTGGTTTAGCTTCAAGAGTATGAGGCAGATCTTGGCATGTACATTCTTCCCCTTTTTTCGTTTATCCCCCCTTTTTCCCCTTGTAAAATTTCTCTCAATTCCGTACCTCCTACCCGAATTTGTTCTTATTGAAATAATCCATCACACGATTGATCAACACATAAAATTGTATTTTTTTTTTTAAAAAAAAAAAAATTTCGAAATTAACCAGGTTTTTATTTTCTCTTTTGTTTATTTGATTTTTAGCGATTCTCAATTAATATCTTTGATTTCTTTTTCTTATGTAGTTCACCTTAAGGTGTTCTCCCGTTATTTGAAGTCCAACTCCTTCCACTCGTGCATATTCAAACATTCTTTATCAACTATACACTTCTTATCTTCTTTAATGCCTTTTTGGGCCCTAGTGTTATTAATTTATTCACAAAAGTATCGAAATGGGACCAAACCAGACTATTAGCAATTACGTAAGTATTTTATTTATATTTTTCTATCCGATTTGTAATATTCAATCGCTTAATGAATCGAGCTTCTTTTGTTGTTTAGCAACTAGGCGATTGTATTGGGAAGGGTGCATTTGGCTCGGTATATAGAGCGCTGAACTGGGAAACCGGAGAAGTTGTAGCAGTCAAACAAGTTAAGATAAGCAATATACCAAAATCTGAATTGAACTTTATTATGGTAAGTCCTTTAATGGATTATATGGCTTCTTTCTAGTATTCGATTCTTATTTTTTTTTACATTTATAGACGGAAATTGATTTATTAAAAAATCTTAACGTAAGTATTTTAAAATAACCTTCATAAAAAAAAATAAATATATACATACTTATGTGTATATATTTTGTTTATTTTATTTTGTTTATAGCATCAAAATATTGTACAATATAAAGGACGTCACAAGGAAACAGAATATTTATATATAATATTGGAGTAAGTTTTTTTAAAAAATTATATTAAATTGATTTTTTTATATATATTACTTATATTTATTATATTTTGAAGATTTTGTGAAAGTGGTTCTCTGCATAATATATGTAAAAAGTTTGGGAAATTTCCTGAGAACCTTGTTGCTATTTATATAAGTCAAGTTTTAGAGGGTTTGCTCTATCTTCACGATCAAGGTGTAATACATCGTGACATCAAGGGTGCAAACATTTTAACAACTAAAGAAGGTATTGTAAAACTTGCCGATTTTGGTGTTGCTACAAAAACTACAACTTTAAGCGACTTTACTGTAGTTGGATCACCTTATTGGATGGCTCCAGAAATAATTGAATTATCGGGTGCTACTACTTCATCGGATATTTGGAGTGTTGGTTGTGTTGTAATTGAACTTATAGAAGGAAAACCTCCCTATTATAATTTAGATCCAATGCCTGCACTTTTTCGTATTGTTCAAGATGAACATCCACCTTTACCCGAGAGTGCTTCACCAGTTGTTAAGGATTTTCTTATGCAATGTTTTCAAAAGGATGGAAATCTTAGAATATCGGCTAAAAAATTATTAAAACATCCTTGGATAACTAACATTCGTAAAAAAGCTACAGACTCAGTACCTCAACAAGAGGCTATAAAGAGTGTTCAAGAATGGAATGAGGCTTTAAAATATAAGCATAGGAGAAGGAGAAGTGAATCAATTAAACCCACTGGTTCTTTACCGTTAAATATGAGCAAAAGATTTCAACAAACACAATTAAATAATGATAATAATACAAATTCATCATCATCGCTGCAAACTAAGAAAAATAAGGGGGATAATTTAAATCCTTCCGTTCCACAACAAAATCGGCCTCCTATTAGCCGACATTTTTCAGACTTTCCATTTACAATTGTTGAACCTGATAATGAAACCGATAATTGGGATGATGATTTTGATGAATCTATAACTACAAAGATTGCTGCACATCAAATTAAGCAAACGAATCATAAAGAAATTGAGGAGGATAATGCGCAAACTATTCGACCTGGACAATTTCAAATTATTCAAAATGAAGTTAAAAAGAAAATTTCAACCCGAGAAAATATTGTTAAAACTAACGGCAAGGAGAAAATTACTAATGATACTGGAAGTAATACAGTCATTAATTTAAACCCTGAATCTAAGTTAAGAGTAGTTAAATCTGCAGTTTCAACTTCAAATATGACTGACACAATTATAGCTCCGAAAAATTCTCAAAAACAACATGGACGGTCCATAAGTAATCTTGAAGGTGTAAGAAAATCTCAAGCATTATTATTAGATGGTACAATCGTATTTCCAGAGACTTCAGTACATAAGCCTTCAAGCGCATCATTTGATAATTCAACTGCGAAAAATGTAAGGAGATTTATTTCAGCACAACAGGAAATAGAGAATACTGCCATTCAAGATTCAATTACATCATCTAAAATGGTAGTTGTGACCCCACCTCCAGAAAGATCGTCGTTTACACAACAACAAGCGTTTGAATTAGATGTTCAGAATGAATTTAATCAGTATCGTGAATCTGAAGAAGATGATTATGATGATGTATTTGCTTCTACTGATGATCAAGATGAAGATGGCGAGAATCATACTTTGAAATTAAATACTCGACTATCTAATAACAGTTGGCTTGGAGATGACTTTAGTGATGAAGATGATCCATTTTTCGAAATGGAAGAAAAATTCGACGAAACGGATATGGATGCTAACATTGCCAGAGATAAGTATGCACGAGCTTGTTCGCGTTTGGAGGAACTTATAAACGCGTTACAACCTAATGAAAGCGAAAATCGGTTAATTTCTATTTGCGTACAGTTAATTGAGTTATTAATGGAACGTAAAGAACTTAAGAATCATTTCATTATGCTTCATGGAGTTATTCCCATTCTAGATATTTTAGAAATTTGTTCTTATACAGATGTTATATCCAAGTTATTAAAAATTGTGAATATCATTATTGAAGATAATATCAATCTTCAAGAGAATCTTTGTCTTGTTGGTGGAATTCCTATCATAATGAATTTCATATCCCGAAGTTACAATTATGACATTCGGCTTGAAGCAGCTAATTTTATTAGGCAAATATGCCATACATCGCTTCAGATATTTGTTTCTTGTCGAGGATTGAAAGTTTTAGTAGATCTCTTGCAAGAAGATTATGCTAAACATAAGCAATTAATATGGATAGCAGTGAATGGAATTTGGAGTGTATTTGAACTTCAAAGTCCAACTCCTAAGAATGATTTTTGCAGATTATTGTCGAAATATGGATTACTTGATCCACTGTCCATTACTTTACATAATGTAATTGTTGATCCTGATCCTTCAGCTCCATGTTACGTGAACAAAATTGTCAATATATTCCTATTATTCTCGCAAGCTGATGCTCATATCAAAGAAATAATGGCTACACGTACTAGAGTTGTTCCTCGAATATTTGAGGACTTAGATAAATTATCACCAATTTTAACAGTAGCAATGCTTAAATGCATTAAGAATTTATCCATGAATTCAAATACCTTGGAAGCTTTACAAAATGCAGGAACAATTAAAGTTCTTACTGGTATTCTTGATGTTCAAGCTCCACCCTATGTCACAGAAATTTCTAATCAAGTTCTTAATACTATGTTTAACCTTTGTCGTATCAATAAATCACGACAAAAAGCAGCCGCTAATGCAGGAATTATTCCTCATTTGAAATACTTTGCTTATAATAAATCTCCGCTTAAACAATTCGCATTGCCCATTCTGTGTGAGATGCCCCACGCTGGAGGTGATTGCCGTGACTTGTTGTGGAGACATGATATTTTACAGCTTTATTTAGATTTGATGACGGATCAATTTTGGCAGGTTAATGCTATAGAGGCTATTCTGGTATGGTTACAAGAGGAAACTGAGAAAGTTGAACCCGTATTGCTTCAACCTAAAAATATTGAACTTATTCTGGAAGCATTTATTACTGCAAAAGCGAATTCGTTTGAAAATATTCTCGAACCGTTACATCTTATTACTCAGTTATCTCAGTCTGTGACATGTGCTTTAGCACAGCAAAATTTTTTCAAACGCCTATTACATCGTCTTGGACATCCTAAACCTGTCGTGAGATTAAATCTATTGAAAATTTTAAAATCAGTATGTGACGTACACCCACAACGAGAAGCAGTTGTTGAACAATATGGATTATATAATATTATAGAACAAATGAGCAAAGAAGATCCAGCTGTATTAATTAAAGAACTGGCTAAAGAAATTCTTTCGCAGGGGTATTTCAACCCTAAAGAAGAAATTTCGTCACAATTATTTTCTTCTTCTTTACCATCTGATATTAATGGAGAAATTATAGGAAACGATAAACTCACGTTAGATAAAAAAGGGCAAGAACTAAATAACATTGATTTTGAAAAAACATCGGTTAAAATTTCTTTTAAGGAGAAAACTATAATTGATGATGGTAGTTGACTCGGGGAGGTGAGAAATCACCAACAGCAGCAAAATAATTTAAATCATCGTAAGGTATCTCGAAAACGTACATCATCATCATATCAAACACGATCTTTATCATCGCCAAAAAGAGATTATCCGTTATCAACTTCACACATAACACAATTTCATTCAGTTCCAATAACTTTATCTACATCTAATTACACTCGATCAGCATTATTTGCTTCATCATCTTTACAGCATCATCATAAAAAATTGCAAACACCTGTTGAAACTTCAATACCATCTGCATCCACATCACTTAATACTTCAGAAAGCTCATTATCTTTCCCATATCAATGCATTCGAAGACGTGATTCAATCCGTAAGATGAGGACACCTTTGCATAATCATAGTTGTAATAAACAAATTAATCAAGTTTTAGAACATTCAGGTACAATTTCAAGGAATTCAGCCCTTAGTAATTCTGACAACAATTCACTAGATTGTTCATGTCAAGGATGTATTTTAGGAATATTAAAAAAAAGAGTAGTGAATGGAAATGAAAAAATTAAAAAAGTTGTGAAAAGAATACAGAAAAGAACTAAAAGTAGATTTTTAAAAATACAAAAGTCAGTTAATAACAATAAAGATGTGATTATTTAGATGAATTTTATGTAATTATTAAACCCTACAGAAAAATCTTAACATTTATATTGCATTCAAGATAATAGTTTTGTATCTTGACATATTTCACATTTTATCTTTTTTTTTATCTTCTTTGTATATTAATTATATTTCATGTAATAATTCTGTACAGTTTTATTGCTTTTTTTTAATAATTTTAATTTTTTGGTTGGGATATTTATGATATTTATGATAAATAATACAATAATTTTTATATGGCTTTTATACATTAGGTATAAATATTTTTTTTATTATTTTGTAATTTTAAAGTAATATTTAATAGCATTATAAAATAAGTTTTATTTAAAATCCAATTAACAGATCACAGTTTAAATAAATTATATTTAAGGTTTTTAATAATATAAATTTCAGAAATATATAATATAAAATTTTAAAATAAGCAATTTTTTAAAAAATTTTATTGTTTGAAGCATTAATGAAGAACTATTTATATACTAAATTAGAAAATTTTATTTTAACATTCATTTTGTTTCTATTATAATTAAAGCTCTGGTTTGAACCAGAAACTGATCTGAAACTAACCAAAAATTCAGTTCAGTTTTCAGTTCAGTTTTAGAACCAGAACCATTCAGTTCAGTTCAGTTCTATTTTATTTTAAGAAAAAATGCGAAAATTGGAATAACTTGGTAACAAGTAATCGTATAAAGACAAGTAATAGCTCATTAGAATCATCGCGTCAAATGGTGGTAAGATCATATGCTAAACAATTTTTAAGAAATTAGCGCTAGAATCGTATTTATTGATCCTAAAGAAATGATCCTGGTATCATTTAATAGGTCTTAAATGAGACAAATCTAATGAGCTTTTTTTCATTTTTTTTATGATCACTATATAACAAGTTAACTTAATTTTTGCATTTTTTTAAATTTTTAAACGTCAAAGAATAAAAATTCCAATCTAAAATATAACTTATTATCTACTACTAATTGCATTGGAATGATCTTTAGCTCATTAGAACTGTCTCAATGAGACGAATTGAATGATGATAAAATCATATCTCTAGCATTGTATATCAGACAAATCATGTTAAGCAGTTTTAGAAAATCAGCATTAGAAAAGTATCTATCGATGCTAAAAACATAATCTTACCATTATTCAACTCATCTCATTGAGATGGTTAAAGATTATTCTAATGCAATCAGTAGATGATGGGTTATATTTTATATCAGAATTTTACTTCTTGACATTTGAAAATTTTAAAAAATGTAAAAATTAAGATAACTCGTTATGTAGTGATTATAAAAAAATGAAAAAAGCTTAGCTATCAGTACCTATTTTTTTGATTACCATATAATAATCCTATAATGTATATTTTGTAATAATTAACAATATAATTGCAATTATAAATTAATATATATTAAAATAAAATATTACAATGAAATGTAAAAAAATAATAATTTTGTAATATATGACAATTATCCTTTTATATTAGTTACAATATTAATATTAAATATCATACTTGTTAATAGACTTATTAATATATATGTTATTAAATATGATATTTACATGACATGTCAAAAATTCCTATTAATATTATTTAAAAAGCATTATAAAATACTACCAAAAAAATCACCACTGATAGCAAAG